TTGTTTTCTTTATACGTTCTTTGACACAGCTTGCCCTAGAAACAAAAATTAATGAATTTATCTTCCTATTTATTTCTATCATAATTCATAACGGAATAATGTGATAGAGACGCGCAAGCTTATGGCGCATTAATATGACGCGCATTAATATAGCGCGTTAATATGACGCGCAAAAATCCGAAATCATACGGCAAAAGCGAACAGTTTTAATCAAATTTTTGTCTCGATCATGTCCATAGACATAAGTGAGAGATCACATCTCAGCAAGACCATATCGTCGCGGCAAGAAATCGTTGAAGTTACTTGTAGAAACTGCGTTTTCCGCGGAGGAAAATCGTGGACTGAGAGTTCACCAAGTGTAATCGTAATGAAGGATCACGCAAAGAAGCGATATTAATGTTGAGCAACGAGGAGAAAGCAGATCTGAGATCTATATATAAAATCATAAAAAGAAATCGAGGTATTTTCTTCTTCTCTCCTTCTCCTCCTCCTCCTTTTTCTCCCTACATCTTCTCGCTTGGCGGAACAACCATCTGTCGGAGACGTCCGCGAGAGTATCGACTAATGGCATACGAGGAAGTGAACGAAAAGCTCTGAGAATGACGACCCTTCGGCATTCACACAGTCCCAGGAATTCGCCGCCTTCCTCTCTAAATCCGGCCGGATTTCGATAAATTATTCGCTCTGTCCTCCGGATCTCTCTGCTCGGATCCGACTTTACGCACCGCGGATTTTCGCCTCTCACATCGTACTCCCGAGTGAGGCAATTTGGTAAAGGATCGTCTGGATAGTAAATGAAAATGAGAGCAATTGATATCGGGAGGTACCGTGAGCTTTTTTATACACAGCATCCGTCATGCGGTTTTTAATCACGCATTTTTCAATCAATTTGAAATTGACATTTTTTTTCCGATAAATACATTGAAATATCCATGGTTCTTGGATCAAAAGTACTCGAGAGTAATTTACAAGCAAATTCGATGTGATTTACCGCTCGTGATATTATATCTACAATTCTATTATTAATCTTAATTATACATTATTCAATTTTATTGTTAAATAAGCTTCGAAGTTCAACATTAATAAACGTTCAGTATTGCGGAAATTGCATTTAATCGAAAAAGCTTTGTGAATAGTTCATCGTGCAGTACGTTTATTCGATGATGTACTAATAAATTTCAAACGTTTATTTATTACCGGATACGCAAGAATACGATAAAATTGCAATGATCATACATTTAAACTCAGAGATATTATTTAATGAAATGCAACTTGACGAAAATGCTTGCAGCCCATTTCAGAAATTACGTAACTACTGCGATACTCTTCAATTAAATTAATATTCACTTAGCGAACGCATTAATGCAAATGTCTATCGTCTCGTATAATTTTGACTTCGAGCCCAACATGTAGTTTCAAACATTTTACACACGCAAAACTGTATGCGTGTGCACTCGTATTGATCGCATTTTAGATAAAGCTACATCCACATCGATCGATCATTATCTATGTTATATTTAAAAAAAACTATAAAAGCAATATAGTAATATTAGAATTTAATAGAATTACATTAATATTTTTCAATTAACAGCATATATAATTTTTAGATTAACATATTGTTTTAAAAATTTTATAGAGAACAATGTTAAATATAATTTACACAAGTATTCTTTTATTGGTATATCTTTGCAATGATTTTTTTATTAAATTTAATTGTATTTAAATCTCAATTTAATTTAAATTTAATCTAATTACATTGAAATGAGTTATCAATTTGACTTAAATAAATTAAATAAAATTAAATAAATGTATATTTAATATTTAAATAAGTGAATTCACCTGAATTTACTTGAATTCTAATATTATAAATTGATATAGTTATAAATAAAGATTGCATAAATATAGAGTATAAAGGTTTTGAAAACCTCCGATATCCTTGGACAAGCAAAATGATATCCGTATGTTACAAGCTAACAATATACTATCCGTTTCGAGGTGTGTACTACCTAAAGGTAAGCCGACACATATGAAGATATAGGATGTAACTCAGTATGGGCGAGACAACTTCTCCACATGCTCAACATGTCATATATCACGATTAACTTGACTTAATGCTCCAGCGATGCGCCCAGTGTGAACATAAGGTAATGTTATTCACTACGACGATATTAGTCTAGGAATTAGCCAAAATCATATGGTTAATTAAACTATATTCAGTTTTGAAAAAGCAAGTAAAAAAACTAAACTTTTCGTGAGACGTAATGCATCAAGCAGTATTATATAATTTCAGTGAGATTAATTTAAGAAAATATCTTAAAAGACATCTACAATGTAATTATTAATTAATTATATTATTTATATGAATTATACGTATTATATATAATTAGAAATTAAATTTGGCGAGTAATTTATAAAACTGTATTTTCAAAAATTAGTACATAAATATTATTAAGCATCAAGCTTTGAACAAAAATAGAATTATTTCTCTTAATTGTTTAATAAGATGTATCAATATTAGATATATACTTTACTTTATATCATAAAAAATGTGTAAATTTGAATCTTAAATTCTGAATTTTAATCCGCGCGCCCGCGCGCGCGGCTGTATATAAATTATTTTAATCCAATCAATAATCATACATGTAAAAAAAATTTTTTAGTTATTATAAAAATATATAAAAATAAAGATTCTAAATTTATTCCATTAAATATCTAAGTAACATTATTTAATTACGTGCAATATAAATAATGTCCCAAACCATAAATAATTAATAAAAATAATTATTAACTGTGTTAATTAATCAAATTCGATTTAATTAAAAATTCACTGCAAAAGTCCCAGTATATAATTATAAATTTTCTTCCAGTACATAATTTATGGATATTTAATATATTATGTAAATTTCTCTAAAAATAATTATGATATATATGAGATATATTATAAATTGTTATTAAAAATTATAGCGTACTGTTACCTGATGAAAAAGTTGTTAATTAATACATATATAGATTAATTAATATCTCCAGAAATAAATTTGAATGCAATGGCTTTTGACTATCTGTCTATGTAACAGTTATGTCCAAATGCAAATATATATACCATATGGCTGTATTTTACTGAGGCTGAAAATAGGTAAACATGTACTACTGCAATCGCGTTTGAACGAACAAACACAGCTGTTGTCTATAACATATACATAAAACAAATATAACTCGATACACACAAAAATTAATGATCATGATAGTTCAGAAAGAAATTTTCCAATTCTTCCTAATTATGAAAAAATTAATATAAAAACGCATCCGATTTCATAGATGCAATTAATTAGATAAAAAAAATGAAACAAAAATTTCAAAATTTGTAAGTATATACTGAAACTTTAGTACTGAATTTTAGTTAAATTAAATTTTAATTAATTATTTATAGTTTATAAGTCTCCTAGTTGTCTTTTTACCCATACTTAAATTAATTAAGTAATATTATTATCAGAAATTTCATGGTATAAATTGCGAATTTTAGTTTTCATGTTTTTATAATAAGCAGCAGAGAATATTTAAATAATTATGGAATCAATAATCGGATGAAAATGCAAAATTTAAAGTAATTTTTACTGTACTGATTCAAATTCAGACATTCTTTTTATAACATAAAAGTACAATCTTATATTTAATTTCATAATTTTAGTACTGCGAAATATTAATGCAATTAACATATTAAATTTTTAGTTCACATTATAATAATTACGTGGACGTTTCAAAATAAAAAAAAAACGAAACAATGATTTTCCTAATTCTTAAAAATTTAATTTAGTTATATCTTGATTTAAATCCATTTTTTAATTGATCAGTTTTGATCGGTGTCGCAATAAAGTATTTTCAGATTACAAACGCTATCTGCACAATATAAGAGGAGACATATAATTAAAGTGAAAAGTGTTACAGCAATGTTGCAATCTACCGCGTGTTAAATTTCAAATGTAGACAACAAGAATGTATTTGTGGCGGAACGTTTCACGGCGAAACTGAAATATATGTGCAATGAAAATGTACATTTCGCGTTCCATCTTCAAAGTTCGTATCGTCTCATGATTGCTGAAAACAATTTGAATTTATAATGCGGAGCCTATCTTACGACGAATCGCGAAGTGCATCATTTTGATATCAACTTTTTCACGAGACAAGGACTTGCTTTCGCCGTGAAGATTTATGCGAGGATTTCTACGCGGAATAATTTGCGATTTTACTATGCGCGAGAGGTGCACTGATGACGTCCGACGACGTGAGACAAAGATGGAGATCCTGGAAGCTATTGAGATAGTAAGCCAGCTCTTAATTAAATGAAATCAAATTAAATGAAATCAGAATTATCGAGTCAAAAGATATGAAAAAAATTAAAAGATTAAAATCTAAACGGATTAAAATAAAGATCCAAGTAATCTTCAAAGATAAGTTTTATAAATGCCAAAATTAACTCTTTCAGAGAAATTGAACGCTATAAATACGTCACGTTCCTGAGTCAGAAAAAGATATATATATTTACAGACATTATAGTTTTAGGACTCTCAAATTTAAGAAGAGAGATTCAAAGTTTCCGGAATATAAAATTTAAAAACCCAGAGATCCGGTATTGTGCGTTTTCAAAAACTGGAAGTTTCACGTACTTAAAGTCTGCAAGTTTTAAAAATTCATAAGTTTCAAGGAAATTTAAAGAGTACAAAACTTGCATAAAATCTAGCGAATATTAACTTAGAAACAAGTTTAGTGACCTTCTTATACGTAGGTAGTTCAGTAACCTACTTAAAATATGATTCTTTAATTTTCTATTTTCTGATTTCAATCTTCAATATTAAAAAGTACCTTCAATTATCGATTAATTCTTGGTTTAAGCTTTATAGTCTGTAGACAAATGCACAATTGGAATGTCTGCGCGAAATAAATAAAATAGCATAATAAAATAAACATGAAGAAACCATATAACTATGTATTTTGAAAATTTTCAGAAACACTACGCCTTGTACTTCAAACGAAGTGGTGTAGCCATTTGCGATGCAATGTTTCGTGTAAAAGTTGAAATATATTACATACATAGCGCCGTGTATCTTGCGCTTTATCCTCAAAGACCGCATCATCCCCCAGTCGCTGAAAACAATTTAGATTTGCAATGCAAAGTAGTAATAAGTCCCGGCTGGTCCCCCCGCAGTGTACGATTCGCGAACTGCACAATTTTAACTTCTACTTTTTAACCAGACGAAGAAAATTTATTTACTCCGGCTAGGAAATTTATGAGCCAGCGGCCGTGTTGTCTCCGCGAAGCATATTCTAAAATTATTTTACGACAGCAAAAATAAGTAAGGCGCGTAAATATGTAGATCAGGTGTAAGGTGTTCTTGCGACGACACAAAATTTTTACGATTGACTGACTTATTTAAATGAGTCTTGCTTCTATAATAACTATTTAACACTTTCACCTTATGAATAATGCTTTAATTCCTTTAGACATTTATATAGGAGATTTCTCATTTAATTCGTTTTTGTATTAATTGTCTATACATTAATAAATTAATATACTAATTTTTTTTAAAAAGATTTGCAAACGCGAATTTACATTATAATTTATATCAAATTTACAGTTTTACTATCAAATCGAATTATTAATTTTAAATGTAATGTTAATTTAAAGATTCATTATCCCCTTATTAATTATAAATAAAAATTAAATATAAATATAATCGCATTTAAGAACAAGCAATTGAGATCTTTTTCTTAACAGATAACAGCCAGAGGTGCTAAATTAAATAAAGAAACCTTTTGCGCGAAAAGGGTCACGACGGAATGAAGGCAGGACAGTGAAATTACTTCCAAACCTTTATTCGTACAGAGCTGTCGGCGTACATTAGAAATATCCAAGGTTTGTCACCGTTTTTCGA